ACGATGGTTAAAGACGCAGGCCAAGATGACACCTAAGCTCACTAGGTGGGCCGCAGAGATAGATCAATACGACTTCGAGCTCAAGCCTGTCAAAGGGAAGTACAACGTAGTCGCGGATGCTCTGAGTAGGAGGGCAGATTACTTTGGGGCAATAGTACACTATCTTGATATAGGGAAGGACCTGCAACAGAAGGTTAGAGAGGCCTATGCGCAAGACCCTATCTATAGTGAACTCTTTAAAAAGGTCAAGGAGGCCCCAAAGATTGAGCCGAACTACCGCACTATTGAAGGGCTGCTCTTTGAGAAGACTAATGTATTTGATCGTCTGTGCATCCCCAATAGCGAAGAGATTCGTAGTCTGATTTTGGGCGAGTGCCATGACACAGAGGGTCATTTTGGTTGGCAAAAGACCTTAGCCAATCTAATGCGCGCGTATACCTGGCCAGGGATGAAGAATGACTGCGTAGAGTATGTTCGCAGTTGTAAGGTTTGCCAGCGTAATAAGAGTCGCACGCGAGCGCCGTTAGGTCTTCTCAGACCCTTACCGATTCCTGACCAGCCAGGGGACTCAGTGTCCATAGACTTCATGGACACCCAAGTCAAGAGTAGGCATGGCAAGAGCCAAGTCATGGTCATAGTTGACCGTTTCATTAAGTACGCAGTTTTTGTTCCTTTGCCTTCAGAGGCACGTACTGATTTAGTCATACAGAGATTCTTTGACTGTTGGGTTAGTGAAAATGGAATCCCACTGTCTATAGTTAGCGATAGAGATAGTCGCTTTACTAGCCAGAACTGGCAAGAACTAATGGGAGTATAYGGATMTAARTTGTTGATGTCGTCCGGCCGTCATCCAGAGACTAACGGTCAGACAGAGCAAATGAACAAGATCCTACAGCAAGTTCTGCGCATGTACATTAGGCCAGATCAGATTAACTGGGACGAGATGTTGCCTAAAGTAGCTAGTGCGTATAACAACAGCGTGCATTTGTCCACCTGCCGCACTCCCAACGAACTGCACAAGTCCTTTCGACCGCACAGACCGTTCGAAGGACTCAACCGGGATCAGATTCAAAGATTACCGCCCGGGACCAGGGAGTTTGCTGTACAGCACGAGAAAGAACTAACTACTGTTGTAGAAAACCTAAGGAAAGCCCAGCATAGGATGATAGAACAAGCRAACAAACATCGTCGCCCTTCACAGTTTCAAGTAGGCGACTTAGTCTGGGTTAGTTCKAAAGAGTTTGCACCTGAGGAGAACATCTCGCAGAAGTTACTGCCCACATATAGAGGGCCATGGCCTGTTCTGGAAGTCAAGGGCGGCGAAGATGGACCGTCCTAGACCATCGAGTTACCAGCAGACCTTCATACGTACCCAGTTTTCCACGCATCGAAGTTGCTACCTTGTCAAACAAGTGATCAGTTTCCATCCCGTAGATCGATGATCCCACCGGATATGGATGGAAGATACGACATAGATGGTATAGTGGCTGAAGACGTCTTCAGAACAGGAGGTACAGGTTGTCCGTAGAAACAGTACAAGGTTCATTTTAGTTATCAGGAACCCGAAGACGACCGCTGGTTTACAAGATCCGAACTATTTAAGACAGCTCCCGATATAGTCCGGGCCTACGAGAGACAGCAAAGGGGCAAAGGTCCTGCCTTGGACTGAAATTTTCTCGGAGGACCTCGAATTTAGGCCGGCGGGAGTGAAACGGTTTTCACCTTTTAGCAGTGGTGATGCAGTACCCAGGGTTCGATCCCTAGACCYCACCCTACCCATGTACAGTATCTGTGTAGACCCCGAGAATTGAACCTGTGACATGTGTATTCATAGGCAGTTGGTAGGCCTGTCGTAGGTCCATA